GTTTGCCCCCCAAAGCTCATTAATTAGAGTTAACTACACAATTTAAAAAGTAACCAAAATTTTGCAATAATTCTTTAGTAAAGTGGCATTGTCTAGTTTGGGATTTGTGCTTTGTTTGGTTTTTTAACTGAATTAGCTGTTCCTAAACAGAAGAGAGGACTAGAGAAGAGGGAGGCTTTTCTGGTTTGTTGTTGGTTTTTTGTGGTTTGTGGGGGTTCAGTTGGGTTTTTTTGCTTTACTTTTCATTACATAAAAATCCACACATGGGATAGTGCATTTAAAAAACTCCCAAATGAAAGATAAAAATATTTTGTTTCTTTCATAATGATACATAAAAAAAATGTCCATTTCTGCCAAAACATTTAATCCTCAAACCAGCAACCCGAGTTTCACGTCATTGAATTTTTTTGCAGAAACCTTTTACAATCATTTTTAAAAGTGCAATCCATTTCCTTGAATCCTGCAGTCATGGTGAGGCTGTAATTAACTAAGTTTGTAAGGAATTTATGAAACTATTCTTCCGTACTATAAGGACACACACTTTTATCAAGACATGAGCATTGTCTAATTAAGAGAGATCTCATGCAGCCCATTAATTAATTCAATGTGTTAATCAAACAGCCAGAAACGCTGCTTAACTAACCCCTTACGTATCCAGGGGCAAATCATTCATTCACTGAAGATGTGATATGTTATATTGCTACATTGATTTGAATGGAGCAATCTTTGAAGTTGTGCTTTCATGGGTTAATTTGACAGAAGCCATGAAACGATAAGGGATTAAATCTTCAAGTGAATTTAGTACCCATGAATAATACTAAATTGGCAATAATGGTAAAGTAAGGTTCACCATTATTACTTGATTTCACGTACAAGACAGCTGCAACTGTCAATCCCACCCAGTGCCACCCATGTCCTCGGTGCTGATCCAGAGATAGTGTCTCAGTAGCTGAGAAAGTATTTAAAGGGAGAGCCTCTTTCTCCCCGAACCTGAGTGCTGTGATTTACTTCCAGCTGCCAAGTGGCCATTGGCCATAGTGTTGCTCCCTGATAGCATAACGATGGCCATTTCATCAGCTGATAAAACAATTATTACTGTTGCAAACACAGCACGTTCCATGTTAATATAGGCCACTCTGTTCTGGGCTGAATCAAATCTCAGGCCGTGGACATGTGAACAGCTTAACCCCCATCAAATCAAGCTGTCCTCATGTAATAAAAGTTGGAAGTACTTGGCACAACCTCTCAAAGAATGAAGCCCTATCCCCATCACAGCAAATTTACTTTTGGACAAAACGGGGGCAATTTCCTCAACTGCCTGCCTCTGCAGCCCCCAGTTGTTTCTTAAGCCTTGAAATGTGCCGTCTGCTCCTTTGAACAGAGCTGCTATGATGAGGTTTGCTACTTAGGCATACCTCTAGAGTTAATCTCCATTTGCGTGTCGGCAGCCTCACCTTGCTAGCCTGCAGTTTTACTTGCTTAGTTTTTGGGTAATCATATTGGCAAGAAAATTGCTAGCAAGGCCTATATTTAAAAGGCTGACTTATAGTCAATTAGAGTTACAGAAAGATTCCAAAAGCAGGTTCTTCATCTGCTCTGACTCAGAGCTCTCATTCATGTTTCCTGCATTATCATGTCATTTGAATGAATAGTTACAAGACACTGCGCTCTCATGTGAAAATTAGCATATTATAATTCTTGTTTCTAAAGGTTTGTGATGCATTGGAAGCAGTGAGCTAAAACATCTAGGCTGTAATCTCATTCAATTGCATAGATTTTTTTTAAGACCAGAAAATATTATTACGACCATCTTGCCTGACTTCCTATATAACAAAGACCAGAAAATGCCATCCAGTAATTCCTGCCCATTACTTCCGCTTTGACAGAAGATATCCTTCTAGAAAACACCCAGTCTTGGTTTAAAGACAAAAGTAATGGAGACTGTACCTCTCTCGGGAAGATATTCTGATGATGCATTACCTTTATAGTTAAAACTGCGTACCTTATTTCTAGTTTGAATTCATCAGCTTTCAGTTTCCAGCTACAGGACTGTTATACTATTATCTGCTAAGGAGCCCTCTACAGTAAGACATCTCCCTCCCTCCCCCCATGTTAGCGATCTATAGATCATAATCAAATCACCTCTTCATGTTCTCTTGAATAAGCTAAATAAGTTGAGCTTTACATTTTTCACTGCAAGGCTTTCCAGAACTCGGGCTTGCAATTGTTTTCCAGTTTGTCAACATCTGCTTTTCAATGTGCCTCGCAAAACTGGACAAAAGTTTTCCACACCTCTCTCTCTCAAACAGTTATTTCTCAGGTACTTAATATTCTGCTGCTTCTACGTACAACCATTAGTCCCTCTTAGGTGCAGAATTGCTCTGGCAGTCGTGTTCACTAAGTCCTATCTGAAGCAACTGCTTTAAGGAATACGGTTCTCTGGGTCCTTTCTGATGGTCTTTTTCCCTTGCTAGGTATGGTGATTTTGCATCTGTCTGCATGAAAACACACGTTGTTCAAAAGAACCCACTCACTAAGCAATGCAGACTGGTTGTAGAACTGCCTTTCCTCCAAGTTGTGCGTTACCTGCAAATGTTACCAGCAAATCATTGATGCATGCGCTGAAGAAGGGTAGGTAAAGGACAGATCTCCATGGGATCAGAAACTTCCTTTGGATGATAATTCTCCATTGATAGTTATCTTTTGAGAGCAATCATTTAGGCAATTCAGGATCCATTTAATACCTACTACACCAATTATGTATAGTGATAATTGTTTTAATTAGAATGTTATGCAGTACTAAGTCAAACACATTACAGAAGTCTAAATATATTGTCAACACAGTTACCTCAAATTAAGCAGAGATGGGCATGGATCAGGGAGCTCCAAGGGA